CTAGTTCCAACTTGGAATATTGGGGTGCGTGCGGTAGTTGAGGTAGTGCATACGGATTCTTAGCGACTGTAGGCAGGCATGTCCTGTCAATCCAACTATACGGAAGTGGTCAACATCTTTTGGTACATGTTGGGGGTAAGGAGTGTTCGACTATGAGCACCTTTTCATTGGCTGTCCATGGCAAGATGGGCTTTTTCAAGATCATCCCTGTTTCGGGACCTGCAGTATATAGGACCCCTTACCTGGCCTCATTTTTGCACAAAACCTGAAATCCTATCATTTCCAGCGCTTGAGCACAATCCCTGGACAAAGCTGGTCATCCGTAGTTCTCCAGTCTGTAGACACACATGCACACATATGTTGATATATGCGCAGGCATGCCTAAAAACATGCATATAATTGTAAAGGCACATGTGTGCACATAAACAAGGTTATGCATACACATTCTATGTCCTAAGTCTGAAGCCCCAAAGCAGGCTGCAGAGGAAGTTCCATCCGACGAGACGGAGCTGCTTGGCGTAAAAAACTGCCACGCTCAACACACAAGGCTTTGAGAGTTACATCTTTACTTCCGTGCATAAGAAAGGGACATCTATTTTGCAGTCGCCAAAAGCAGGTTCAGTTTCTGCACCCCCGCAAACTAGGTGTCTATTTGCAAAGGAGGGACGGAGAAGAGCCATGAATTGAATGAATTGAAAACGCCCCTATATACTAGACATTTCGGCCTGGACTTTCGGTGTACTACGTGGGCGACAGTTGTGGACCACGCCTTGCCTAGATAGATGTGCTTGGCGCCGCGAACCTTGACGCATTTCGTTGCAAATCTCACGCAGAGGAGGCTTTGCAGAAGCTCTGATCCGTAAACTCCTAAACTCATCACCTAAACCCAGACCCCCTAAAGGATCCAAAAATGGAACCCCTTAACAATCCCCTAGTTTCCCCAATGTAGTCATGGGTTCATATTGCAGGGGTTCAATTTTTTGATCCTCTCGGGGGTTTGGGAACCTAAAGCCCCAGAAGTCACGTGCCCGAGGCAGAAGCCCTAAAGCCTTCTCCAAAGGATGGGCAACAGCACAGGGTGGCAACACCCTGAGGCTTGGCTGGCCAGCGTGACCGGCATGACTGGCAACCCAAACATGGGTGAGGAGGCCAGGGAGGACAAATGAGCAATAGTCTAAACTCTTAAGATTTACAGTGGGTTATACAGGAGATTCGAACCCCTCTATTACCCTAGTAGCTTCCATTTATCATGCTGGTTGTTAGTCGGGAATGGAGGAACGGATCCCTATAGTAGCCCCGATACAACCGCTAAGACATCGTAGTTTGCATGTTCTGTTCCTTGATTCATTCCCTACTGAAACCAGCTATTAGAAGGTGTTTCTACATTTGGACAGAGCCACTGCTATCTATTTGTAGAGTCGGTCGCTGGCCCCATCACAACTTGAGAGCTTCAGTGGATACATTTACTTCAAGCGGCTCCAAGAGGGCTACAGAAGTTTTATGAGGCGCCGTGCGCAAGATTGCGGTTATCAGTCCGAAGGACCTGAAGGGTACCAAGGAGGTATGCTTGATGCATTTAACATTTGAGACGTGCCCAGCTTGGCAAGACTTGTGAACAGGCACTATGAGGCCTTGCGTGAGCCACTCTGCTCAGGAGCTCATGGCAGTTTATTCGGAAGATGACATCGTAGCCACAAATCAACCCGTGATGAACATAAAATGGGGAGTGTGATGTAGACGATGTAGACTAGCTTGCTTACGATATTGGCGCTTCTGACGCTGCTGCCTTCACGCATCTCAAGGCCAAGTGGAAAAACCGGGGATGAAAGACAGCACAAATGTGGGCAAAGGTACTATGCTCTACCTGAAATTCCCTAGTAGTTTCCATTTCCTTTCCCATTATCCCAATATAACCAATATACTATACTGTAGTAGTTTCGATTTTCTTTTCCATTATCCCAATATAACCCCGACATTACTAACCCTTCGCTCTCCCCACACCGCGACCAGCAACGCAGGTGAAGTTGCAGGTGCGGCGGATCTCTGATTTCGCCTCAGACGTCAAAGGTCCTGAGCTCGACGAGAGGCAACCGAGGCGCTTCAGGGATTCCCTACACCCTATAGAATATTGGGGTTATATTGGGATCATGGAAAAGCACATGGAAACTACTATATTTTGTATTGGGGTTATAGTGGGATAGCGGAAAAAGAAAATGGAAACCACTATAATATAGTATATTGGGGTTCTATTGGGATAACGGAAAAGTAAATGGAAACTACTAGAAATGATATTGGGATAATGGAAAAGAAAATGGAAACTACTATACATTATATTGGGAGAATGGAAAAGAACATGGAAACGACTATGTATCCTGAGCACTAAATTTGTTTCCATTTTCTTCTCTGCTGCCTCGCTTCCCCTTAAGCACCAGTAAGCTTGCTACGCCAGATACGCAACATCCGCAGAAGTCTACACTTGCAGGGCTTCTGGGAGGTAGGGCTCAGAGGCAACTAAGACGAGAAGGGTTTTGGGACTCAAGGGGCCAAGGATGGAGCCGACAGGCAAAATTTGGGTGATATGTAGGGTTTGGGCCCGAGTTTTCGCGGGAGTTGCATGAGGGGTTCAGGGCCTACAGGGGTTTTGGCTCCAGCCATATTGCTACGAGGCCAGAACTGGCAAGCCCTAATTACTTGTGCACGTGCGGATGCAATGGATCGTGATGTCCAAAAGCTCGCCTCATGCATTGCTTATGCAATCAGAGTATCAATGAAGACAGCCGGATGCAGTGTGGCAACAGGTTCATTGATTTCAGCACTGCAGGCTATTGCTCCACCGACGCTACTTTCCAAAGTAGACGCCATGCAAGTCAAACGGACAGGTGCAAAGAGACGAATCTGCTTGAGCGAGGCTTTGGGGATCGTTACAGGTGCTGGGGATTGCTCGTTCAATGTTGCATCCTCGCCGCTGTGCCTTGCCAGTGACTCAACAACTGTAGCCACTTCGTGTCACAACTCTACCCAGACCCACGCCGAGATGATCACTCGGGAAGAATGCGAAGGAATTGTGAGTGTTTTGGCGCAGAAATGTGACGGGTTGCAAGCATCGTGGCAATTGCTGCAAAATCGGCTGCGGGACCTTGAACCTCAATCTCACGGTGAGCCTGCTTCGTCAAGTACCTCTGAGCTTGATCAAGGTCAGCCGTACCGTGTGGATCCCTTTCCTTGTGAGACTTCTGAATCCAGTGCTGGCGCACTGTGGGCTTTGCGGGAGCGTCACCGTGCCTTGAGGTTGGCCAGGAAACAGCAACGTAGAGAAGATCGACTACAGGGTCTTGATGGTCGAGCGCACATGCCCTTTGAAAACTGATTCATTGTTCACACCTGAGACACATGCGGTTGCATGCCATGCTTAGCTCATGAAGCCTCTGTTGTCATGTGTTGTAGCACGC